GGGACAGGTGGGCACATGGCACCTCTCCATGCTCAGGGCATCACAGGCCTGAGAAAAAATGCTCCTGGATGTCTTTAGTACCTGCTCTGGAGACGGTGGGTTGTGGCAGGATGGGTTTCTGGCACTGTCACCTCTGGAGAGCAGATGTCAGTGCTGTTGAGTAGGAGAAGTTATGTTAGAGAGAGGGATTTCTTGTTCTCCAGGAAGTACTGTCAGAGCACATTTAATATCCCAGTGCTTTGGTGTACAGCCTTTTTGTGGATGCTTCTCTGGTTCAGGCTCAGTTAGGCCTTCAGCCTTCTTCAGGCATCTATCTGCTGATGGTCTTTGCATCTGCTGTGCTTTTGCCTCTGCTCTGCTTTGTTGGTTCTAACGAAACCCAAGAAACATCCGCATTGGTGACAGCTCATCTTTGTGCTTGAAATTCTTTTGCACTGTAGGCAAAGCACTTCATTTGAAGCACTAAATGCTCCCGTTTGCCCCCAGCACTTCCCTCCCTCGGCACATGTTTTGTGAGGAGCTGCTCTGTGCCTGATACTGATTCCCTGACCTCTCCCCTGCACACACTCCAAACACTCCACTGCAGCTCCAGGCCCTGAGCTCCTGCACGTTCCTTCAGAGTAGCTGCAGAGTGTGGCTCTGGGTAATTCTCACTTGAGTGATTCAGGAGTTTAAATGTTTTGGCTGCAGCTGCTCGTATTAAATCTTTGGGAATTGGAACTAGAACTTTAAGTTTCGAGTTTTATGGACTCATTGCTAAGTTCTTTCATGCTCACCAGCTTCTGCAGGGTTTGAGAGCTGAGGATCTTTGCTTTTAGATGCTGAAGCATCCATTTTCATTGGTTTATGTTGTGATAGCTGCTGAAGTTCCTAAGCTGAAACAGATCTGGAGGAAATACATTGAACCCCAGATTGTTCACCCCACTAAGGATTATTGGAATTATGCTCTGTTTTGTAGTAGATGATACATACTTTAACTTCACATGTCTCCTTTGTGTTGCCAGTGTTAATGCTGACAATTTCTTTCCAGATCTGTCTGTGAGAGTTTTATTGAGTGCAGCTGCCAGGAACATGTAGCAAACAGGTACACAAGAGTGTGTAGAACTGCTTGGTAAACTTCAGGGATATATTTATTCTTCTCACTCCTCCTCTTAATTAGCTTTCCTGTTGTTCAGATAGTCCTCAGTGATTTGAACTCCAACAAGACACATGTGTATGTGAAGTACAAGTATTTGTCTGCATGAAACAGGAGATGTTAGCTGGGCCAGTGAGGGAGCTGCATTGAAGCTGAAATACAGAGGCATTGCGAAACCAGAAGTACAAATCAGAGTGTGCTGTTGGTCTGGTGTGACTGTTGGGTTTTTTGTCTTCAATTTGCTGTTGCTGTTTCAGTAATTGGTGATAAGTACAGCCTCCTTGAGGGGAGGGAGTCCCTCTGCACAGGATCAGGTCCCTTTTGTCGGAGGCAAGTTGCAGAGCTATCAGCATGGGAAACCTGCCAGAACATCATCACCTTGTGTGGGGAGACTTTCCTGCCTTTGCTAACTCCTGTCCAGTTATAAGAAGCTGTGTACTGGGTGGGTGTAGCTGTACCCCAGTCCTAACAGATGGGAGCAGTTTCCAGTTCAAATGGCAGTTGGAGTCTTAAATGAGAAGTAACTTCTAGTCCTTGTAAATAAAAACTTTGAACTGTTAAACATAGGGGCAAGTAGATAATAGCCTGACAAATCCCCTCATAAGGGTTTGGCATCTGAAGCAATTGCTCCTTTCAGTATTCCTTGTGTATTGCTAAGACTAACAGAAGATTTCTTTTACAGGCAGACCAAAGGAAGCCTAAAATATTAATAAGATACAGATTTGATAATTGCATTATGTATGAAGGTCAGGCAGCAGGCTGGGGGGGTGTGGCACCAGAGGTTTTGGTTACCCTGTCCTGCTGCTAAACCTCTCTTAAACGTGATATATTGTATACATCCTGTATCTGTTACAGTGCTGCTCCTCAGAAGGGTCACCCAGGAGTGCTTTGCATCTTTGCTTCATCATGGCAGGAGCTGCATGAGGACATGTGGTTGTGTCCTCCCATTCCCTTGCCCTAGTGCAATGAGAGATCTGCAAAATGCAGCAGGATTTGGAAATCCTTGTCCTTTCTGACTTTTGTCTTCTAGATGAGAAAGCTCCTGCATAGGCATTGCCTGCAGTTTGCTTGTGCTGTGCAGCCCTTGCACGCATCTGGGCACCCTGCTTTGGGATGGGGCAGCCACAGCATGTGCTGTGCTTATCACATGCTGATAAGCTCCTGCCGTGAGCTGTTTGCTGCCAGCCCTTCGGCTGGAGGGCAGGGATGGAAAGGACATGCTGCTTTATCAGTTCCAATCAGTTTATTTAAACCAGCACTCCTCAAATGGTGTTACAGGGTGGTTACATGCTTCTGTAATGAACATGTGTCACAGGAGAGGGAGAGTGGGAGCAGCAAAGCTGAGGGGCAGGGGAAGGGACGCTGCTCAGGGGGGGAGGCAGAGTGCTATGGGACTGAGAGGGGAAGGGGAAGCCTTGCAAAGTGGGTATCTCACTTCTGTCCCCTCTGCTTTGACTCCAGACACAAGGTGGATACTAATACAACATTCAGGTGGGACAGAAAGAGGAAGATGAAGAGGCTCCATGGCTATGGGGTATGAAAGGAGAAGATAGCAGTATGGAAGCCTAGATAATGAAGCTCAGCAGTGACTGAAGCCATCACTGAGGATTGTGGGATTTGGGGTTTTTGTTTGGTATTTTGGTTTTTTTGGTTTGGGGTGGGGGTTTTTTGGTTTCTTTTTGGTGTGTGTGTGTGTGTCTTCTCTGTGTCATGGAATTGTTATTTTCCTCTAAGCCCAAGGGTTTTGACTGCAGTGACATGAGCATTCCCCCTGCCCCGGCCCCCAGAGTGCCTGAAGGTGCCTGAAGGATCAGAGGATGTGCTGCTTGCAGGCTGCTGCTGCTGCTCTGGTTAATTTACTGTCAGATAAGCACGTGTGATTGCTGCCTCAGACCAGGAAGGATGTAGTTTGGAAGACCAAGATCTTGCTGCCTCCCTTTCCCTCCTCCCTTGAAGAGAATCATCGAGCTTTTTACATAGGTTTTGAGTGTAAATAAACACTTGGGGAGTCAGCTAAATAAGCAGACCTGTTTAAATAGTGAGTTATCCCTGGGAAGGTGTATTTGCAGGCCTGACTTCTTGTTTGGTTTTTGGCCAAGGAATATCTAAGGAAGGTGTTCACAACATTCCCTCTATAACTAAGTGGCTTCCAAAATGTGCCAGGTAAGTGTAGTTGGCAAACAGACCTCAGAGTACCATCCATGACAGCTTGAGCTGATCTAAGCTATGGCTGTTTAACACTCCTTCCTTTTCTCCTCTGCCAGCCTTGTTTTCCTTGTCCACATGGTGATCTGGCTCAGCTGAGGGATAAAATACTGCTGGTGCTGGTGGGAGAGGAGGAAAGGGAGATGGCAGAGTCCCAGTTCTGGTGGCTCAGGCTGCTGTGGCGCCACCTGCTCAATCAGCAGTTCAGTGTTGCTGTGAGCAGGTACAAGCAGGTGCTGCTCCTGCCACCCCTCTGGCCCTCGCTGCTCCCTTGTGTTGGCACAGGTGTTTGTCTCACCTGGATTAGATCAGATCTCCATGTACTTGTCTCAGCAGACAAACCTTGGTGTTGGCTTAACTTCGTGGATGTTGTGATGTGTGGCTGAGAGCTGGCCGTGTGTGGCAGATCTCCCAGTGCTGCCCAGCAGGGCCAGCCAGCCATTCCAGCACTGGCTGTGCCCTGGCCCCTGCAGTGCCCGGGGCTGTGTGCCCTGGCCGTGCTCCCAGCCAGGTGCTTGTACAGCAGGTGGGTGCTGTGTGGGTGCTGGGGAGCCACTGTGCTCGGGACACAAGGGCATACCCTGCCTGAGAGCTGCTGCCTGAGAGGGACTGTGGAAGCACAGCTTAACCTTAGCTGCTTTAAATCTCCTGTCTTGGTTGCAGTTTTACAACAGTGCCAAAAAACCCTCCCCACTGCAAAAACCTGGTTAGCTGATGGTCAGCTTGACTTCCTGATCTCAGTCTGCTGTGAGGGGAAATGCATATCTGCAGTTGTGCTGGGACTGTTGCTGAATGGAGAACTGTCTCCTGTCTGGTTCTGTTGAGTGCTGCCTGGGAAATTTCCCAGTGGCTTTTTTATCTGGAATCCGTGGGACAAATCTAGGTTTATCAGGGTGTGACTGTGTGTGCATATTGACTGTACAAGGATTTGATGCACATTAATGCATACCCAAGGGCCTTAGGTTTGGAGCCTGCATGTGATGTTCTGATGAAACTAAAGCGATGCTGGGTTTGAGGTAGTGATGCACTAAGGCTCAGTCAGTCCTGAACTCACACAGGAAAAGGGCACTCTTCTTTACCACTCAGTCATGTTTCTCAGCTGCCAAGTTGGAGTAGTGCATGCTATAGGAGAAACACCTTATGAATGTAAAGGGACTGAATTTCTGTCCTCTGACATGACTAAGGTTTCCCTGAAAGTTTCCTGGTGTCTATTTTTAACTACTATTGAGCTGCAAAAGGGAACAAGGGGTGAATTGCAGCCATGGCTTCTATGAGCAAAATACTTGTAGAACTATTTTCTGCTTAGCTGAAGGTGATGTGTCAGTGAGAACATCTTCCCTGCTAAGGTGGGGCCAGCAGCAGTGTGAGTTGAAGTGACTTCTCAAGTTTAAGTGTCTCAAATGGGCTAATAGTCCCTCACTGAAACTTGCTGTAATCTCTGTAATGAAGCTCTCTGCTGTATTAAAAATGCACTTATGTTGAAGAACAGCTGTTGGAATCCCTTCCAGCTCCTCAAATGTATGACATGGACACGTGCATCGTGAATTTTCGAGGGTCTGTATGTGACACACAGTCTCAGTTTTGCTAGCTTGTCCACTAATGATGTCTTTTTCTCTTCCTTACCCTGCAGGTGTTGTTTGGATTGTAGCATAGAGGCACTATGTACTCAGAGTGGAGATCCTTGCATCTCGTCATTCAAAATGATCAGGGGAATACCAGTGTACTTCACAGCTATCCTGAAAACGTGGGGAGGGAAGTGGCGAACGCAGTGGTGCGTCCTCTTGGACAGGCTTTAATTGCATCATCTGTTGGAAATGAGAGTTTGCTAAAAACAGACAAAGAAGTAAGTGCTAGAGTTGCAGCTTCATGGTTTTCTCTAGCTTCTTTTGTTTTCCTCTCTTTAGCAGTCCAAGTTTTATGAAGTGTGTTACATTTTAGGTTAGTAAGCTACATAGGGCTCCTATTAACAGCTAGTTCATAGCAAGTGTCCTTCATGACTGGATAGTAAGTGTTTGTCTGAGGTACTGTACCAAGAAAATCAGGTTAGAGAAAACCAACCAAAAACTGCCAAAGCAAACCCGAGGAATTGAGCAGTTAGCACAGAACCTTTCTAATTACCTTCCGTTTTGAAGCAATAGTATGTGACTGCTAAAATAAAATCTTTGTATTGGAAAAATATTTACTAGAATTTGGAAATCTTTCATCAGCAGCTCTCTGATGTGTTCTGAAGACTTCTCTCTGCAGGTTAGACTAGAGAGATTCAGGATTTAAGAGTGTTTTATTCCTGTTCTTCATAATGTCATGACATAGGAGTTAGTTGTTCAGCGTTTTCTTGCAGGATATGTTAAGCAGAGTTGCCCATACGTACCACATAAGTGCTGTTACTTTGTTGAGTTCGAACCAGTGTGCTCTGTACGTTATTTACGTGTTAATTTTTAATCAGTTTTGCTTTGTGCTTGGCAGGTAAAATGGACTATGGAGGTGGTTTGTTACGGTCTGACCCTCCCTCTGGACGGCGATACTGTGAAATACTGTGTGGATGTGTATACAGACTGGATTATGGCCCTTGTGTTACCTAAGGACTCCATTCCTTTACCTGTTATTAAGGAACCAAACCTTTATGTTCAAAGCATTCTCAAACATCTCCAAAATCTCTTTGTACCGAGGTGAGTGTTGGGGCTGGGATGCTCGGGAGGCCGAGGAGTTCCAAGCTGTAGTCAGCAGGTAACCTGTCAGAGGCCTCATGAGACATGGAGACTCCTACTGCTGCAAGGTTAGGAGGAAGGTGTTTCTCCAAACCTGTTTTGTAATTTTCAATAGCAAATTGAGTTGTTGCTGCTGTGTTCAGGTAATTAGAATCACAGATGGTTCATCAACCTGAATGTTTACTGTCCTAAGAACTCTGTTTAGTGACTGGAGGGTGCTGAGGAGCAGCACTTTGTACTGTATGAAACTGAGATGACTAAGAGCAGATCATGCCAGTCCAGCATTTGCTGATTCAAGACTCGACCACATTTCTGATGTGCTGGAGCATCTTGCAGTAAATGACTGCTTTGGGCCTGCATCTTGCTGCCTGTGAAATGGGCATGGTTGTGCTGACTGTCCTTCACTGGGAGTTTTGAAAGAATCCCATGGAGGAGTGCTTGCTGCCTGACATCCTGGGGTGATGATGTTGAGATGCACATGTTTCTAGGGCTTGGACAAAGTGCTCGAACATCGTACCTTGTTTATAGTTTATGACAAGTTTACCTGCTGCTGTCCAACATAAGCATTAGATAAGTGAAAGGAGTATTTAGTAGCACCCAGTGGAAAAGTACTTACCTTCAGATCAATGTTTAGTATGTCTGTAAGTATCAGATCTTCTGCTTTCATCAGTATTAATAGCATATCTCTGTGAGTGGCCTTCGAAGGGCTCTGCTATGCTTGGTTTACTTCACCTTACCTGAAGGCTGTGAATAAAGGACTTTGAGTAATAGCTTATGCAGATTTGGATGAGGAGTTCATTGCTATTTATTGATTCCTTCAAAGTCTACCACCTACCCTTGTTGCTCTTAACTTGCAGTGATTTTAATTCCCAGTAAAGGATGGTCAGGGCACAAGCCTGAGGAAAGCATGTTTCTGGGTTAGACAGCTGCAGGAGGCTGGCTCAGAGCTTTAATACATAGAGAATGCAGTCTGCTGTCTGGGATCCTTTATATTCCCTTGGCACAGTATGGAAGGAATTCTTCACTAGTCCATGAAACAGTTGTTTGTGTGATCCCTTGCCTGCTCTCACACCAGGGGCACTGGTAGCAGGCAGCTCAGTAGTCCAGTTTTTTGCATGCTGTTGACACAAGCTGCTGCTTCACCCTTCTCTCCTAAATTCATTGTTGGAGCTTGGTGAGCTTGGTGCAGGGTAGTAGACTGCATGTGATGGCTGTTGAATGAAATAATTAACATCTAGAGACAGGAATGGCTGAAAAATCATTATTTTAAACATTCCCCCCCAGTATAACTTCTCTATAGTTTTTCTTTCAAAAGCCTCTGAGTTGTGTCTGAAACACTGATTTTTCATGGCTACTGCTGTCAGCACTTGATGTTCAAGTCTCTGCTCTGTTCTCAAGAACAAGAACTTTTAAGTTGTGACCTCCAGGGAGCTGTGTTCAGAATCCACTCCAGCAACTCCGGAGGAGTTTTTGTACTGGAAATGAAATGCAGAACAGAGCTGTGCACACCTTGCTTGAGCAAGAGCAAAGGCTCAGTCTTAAGTGCCTGTGGTGGGGAAGAGAATAATTTCTGGGTTTACCCAGTGGATTCAGGTTGCTGGTGCTGATGTGCTCCTGTAGAATACTTACCCAGGAGCTCTTGTAGCAGCCTGCATTGAACTGTCTCCAGGTAAAAGCTCCTGTTCTTCTGTTGAAAATACTAAGCCTTTATGATAAGTATGTTCTGTGGAGGGCTGTGGTTAAAATAGCTTCCTTCCTTGTCCTGGTGCCCTGGAGATGAGTTAGCTGTTGGTTTGGCTGCCTTAGAAGTGGTGACCCAGAGCTGTGGTGAAGGGCTTAGAGCCTGAGTTAGATGTACAGCTGAGGTGTGAAGTGCAGCAGCCTGAAGTGAGCATTTCAGTGTGAATAGCATCTCTGGAGCCTGTGTATACCGATACAGAGCAGGTTCATAGGTCATTCTAGTGTGGCTGCTCAGCCTTGAAATAGTGTGGTGCTGGAAAATAAGAACTGGGAAAGCTGAGTGAGTCGAGTTGCCTTTCCTCTATCTGCTGGAGTGACTAGAGAGAGGGAGCTTGCACCTTCCCTCCAGCACTGACCTGTCCCCCCATGAAACAAACACTTCGTTGACATACTTGAGCAGTCCCCAGGGGACCCCTGGGCTTTCCATGTCTAGCAACACAAGGATATTCAGGAAGTCTTGAAGATGAGTTAAGCAGTAGTGGTTGTTACTGCTGGCAGATAAAGTTTCACTGCTACAAGCACTGTTGGAAGCACAGAAAGGAAATATGAGAACTCTCTCCCCTTGTCTTGCCTTCCCAGGAGATTGAGGTGCAGATACCAGGGTGCTCTGTGCAACAGAAACATCTGGAACTGCTTGAGAGACCATGGAGCATGTGACCATCCAAGTATAGTAGACACTCCTTTGTGATAACTTCTGCTTCTCCTATGAAACCATGAGAGCTGTTCTTGTTGCAAAGGAGTGTGGCCAGAAGCCCAAGTTCTGTAGAACTCGAGACATCTAAAGGCCTAGGAATGGTGCAAGCAAAGCATTGGGCTGCAGGAGGGACTCGCAGATGAATGGGGACTGCGAGTTGCCTTTACAAGATTAGCTCAGAAATACCCCATTAGTCATCTTGCATATGGAGCTCCTACATGTAAGCCTGCTTTTATTCCAAATTCCCTGATTTATTAGGGAAACAAGTCTTGAAACAGGCTTGGCAGCTTCAAGTCTATCTAGACTAAGGGTATTTTTTGATTTAAAGCATCTGCTCTATTGTTGCTCTGGGAAAACCCAGTGCTGTAAGCAGGGCAGGGCTTCCTTGTCCCAGAGTTTGTTGTTCTGCAGCGACTTTAGCATGAAGCAACCCACTGAAACCCTGATCTGTGGCTGGTAGTCTGAAATTTTGCATTAGACTTATCTTGTCTCTTTGTAATCTTGTTTCCACTACTGTAATACAACGTTTGCTCTATGAAGATAAGAGCTGAAAGTGTTTAATGGATCAGCATGTTCACAATATGACTTGTGGGTTGGGTTATACCACACTGAAAGTGTTGGTTAGGAATCTGATAATACTACTTGGTAGTCCAGTGGAAGGTAACACTTCTATGTTTTTTTTTCTGTCATCCCTTCAGTATGTGGTAGGAGGGATGAGGCAGTGGTGCTTAGGTTAAAATATGTCATGCATATTTTGCACTCTCTAGTGTGTAATCTCCTCTGTCACGCTTTAAACTTACTAGGCTTCCTCAGATTTGTTTACCAGTGTCCTCAGATACTGTCCAGAATGTGTCATGTTACTATTTTGTACCTGTTCTGCCTTGTCCAGATGAACTGATGGGAAGAGGTGACTGCTTTGTGCTGCTTCTGCAGCACTTGGTGTTGAGTGACTCAGCAATGCCAGTGTGGATCTAGTTATTACTACAGGGAAAACCTTGATAATAGCAAATCATTTCCTTTCTTCCTTTCTTAACCCCAATTTCTTGGATTCGCAGAGAAATATTTAGAAGGGGGTCATTAAATAGGAAAATCAGACAAAAGGAGGAAGGAATGAAGTTGATTTGGAAGCAAGAGGAGAACTAGGAAGAATTTAAATTGGTTTGCCAATAATACATTCCCCAGGTTTTGCGACTTCTGAATTATGTATGTAACAATCTGTGATGTCTCAAGTGGTTCTCATTGTTTGGCCCAAGATAAATTCCTGTGGGATGATGGGTTGTGCTCACTCTGTGGCAGTGAGCAGAAAGTTACAGTCCATCTCCTGCTTGTTAAGGCAGAGTTAGGGTGCCCAGAGACACAGTGAGGGGGAATAGAGGTACATTGGCTCCTGTAGTTAACTCTTGTTCAGTAATGTTTCCTCTTGTAATTGCTCAAAGTTCAGGTTATTGTATGCATCACTTCATAACTCTGTTTCTCCAGCATTGTTTTCCTCTCTTGCAGGCCAGACCCAGGATCCAGCCAGATCAGGCTGTGCTTGCAGGTTTTGAAAGCTGTCCAGAAACTGGCTCATGAATCCACAATTATGGCAAGAGAAACCTGGGAGGTTTTGTTATTATTTCTTCTTCAGATCAATGACACTCTTCTGGCAGCTCCAACTGTGCAAGGTTCATGTTCAACTTCATTGGGTTCAGTTACTGGAAAAACCTTTGGCTCTGCTTGATGCTGAGCTGCCAGTGGGGTGGGGGAAACCTGTTAAAAGCTCTCAGTAGCCACCAAAGCAGAGGAACTCACTCCTAATTCTGATACACTACTGCAAAATAAAACATTGCCAGAAAAGCCTTGAAGGATTTGGAGCTGAGTTTTCCTCCAAGTATTTTTGCAGAAGGATGACTTTACAGGAGCAGCTCATGGCGAATGGTTTCAGACAATGTTGTTGTGTCTGTTCACCTGCCTACTGCAAAATAATAGTGTCAGTGTTACCTGTTTAAAACAAAAACTTCAATAGAGAGAGAGTGCAATAGCTGCCTAGGACTGGTGAATTCCCAGTGTCCCTTAGTGACACCTGTGGTTGAGCTTTATGTATTGTGTTTGGTCTTGCAGAAAGGCTGATTGGCTATAGGATGCAATCAGGAATAACTCTGAAACAAAAATGATGAAAACATGAGCTTAATCTTTTTGCACTTAAAGCTCCTTGTGGAGGTATTTGAAGTTCTTTCGTTGGAATACTGATTGGAGGCTTGCTTTGTTCATGTTACAAGGTGGCATTGCTGAGAACCTGGCTGAGAAGTTAATTGGGGTGCTGTTTGAGGTGTGGTTACTCGCTTGCACGCGGTGCTTCCCGACACCCCCATACTGGAAAACTGCCAAAGAGATGGTGGCCAACTGGAGACATCACCCTGCAGTGGTTGAGCAGTGGAGCAAGGTCATCTGTGCCCTTACATCCAGGTAGGAGAAATGCTGTGGAAATAAACACGTGGACAGGGATGATCATGGTTAAACATACTTTTTTTTCATTGGTGTTGCTTATTTGTGGCATGTGCAGCAATCTGAAAGTGAGCAATGAGTGAGAGGTGTTGCTAGTATCCTTGCACTGCATGCATGGTTTTGTTCTGCAGGTGAAGATCAGAGCTGCATAGTCTCTGTGGTTGTGTAAGCTCAGCACCTCTGATATTTAGCGCTGTGCAGTGTGTGTGTTTTAGTCTCCATCACTGTGTCTCTTCATCATGTGCCCTGACAAATGACTCATGAATATTAGTGTAGCGTTGTAGTGTGTGTGTTTAGTGGCAGTCGCCATCAAAATTATTAGGTGCTCATTACTGCTGTGTGCTGCTGGATTTGGGGGGACTCTTGGACTCTTTCTCCTGCCCTGTGGAGCTGAAGCTGTGTTGCAGCTGCCTGGTGCTGGGATGTGACAGGCCAGAGGCAGGCCCCAGGCTCTCCTCTGAGCAGCATCTGCTCTAGAAAGTATGGGACGAGGGTTGTACCAAGCCGTGCTGGGCGTGGGAGCAGTGAGGATTGTGGAATCATGGAACAGTTTAGGTTGGAAAAGCCCTCCAAGACTGTTGAGTCCAATTGTTCCCCCAGCACTGCCAAGCCAACCATATCCCCAAGTGCCACAGCCACATGTCTTTTAAATGCCTTCTGGTGATTCCACTACTGCCCTGGGTGGCCTGTGCCAATGCCTGGCAGCCTTTTCCATTAAGAAATTTTCCCTAACATCCTAGATATTAGGGGGAAAAAAATCTCTCCTGGCACAACTTGAGGTAATTTTATCTGTCCCCCAGCACTGCCAAGCCAACCATATCCCCAAGTGCCACAGCCACATGTCTTTTAAATGCCTTCTGGTGATTCCACTACTGCCCTGGGTGGCCTGTGCCAATGCCTGGCAGCCTTTTCCATTAAGAAATTTTCCCTAACATCCTAGATATTAGGGGGAAAAAAATCTCTCCTGGCACAACTTGAGGTAATTTTATCTGCTCTTGTCACTTGTTCCCTGGGAGCCCAAACCCCACCCCAGCTGGCTGCGCCTCCTGGCAGGGAGTTGTAGAGAGCAGAAGGTCTCCCTGAGTCTCCTTTTCTCCAGACTGAGCTCCCCCAGCTCCATCAGCTGCTCCTTGTGCTCCTGACCCTTTTCCTA